GAAACAGCTATGGTAATGGCCCAGTCACACATACGCGACGCACGGCTCGCGCATTGAAAAAATGGAAAATAAGATCAGTGCGTCGTTGTGCGCCCAACTTTTGTCAGGATTTGGGAGAAGCTAGCGAGTTGACAACGAATGCACAGCGTGTTGCTAGCGCACGGAACGAATGGTACGTGCATGCACCGCGCATTCAAAGCACAGCCAGCAAACGGCACCGGTCATGCATGCTGTGATAATGAGCTTGATGGTCTCGGGCTACTGCTGCATCGTGCTCAGGAGAACTTGGAAACGGTTGGCCAGGATGCCGAAGTCATTTTCTACGACCCTCCTGGCTCGGGAAAGCCGGTAGTTCCGCACTTTATATACCCCATGGCTACACGCTGCGTACACGCTAGAAACACGCTTGAAGAACGCTAGAAGAACGCTGGACGCGCTACAGACTCGTTCAGCACTCGTTCAGCACGCCCATATTTGCTGCATGTTCGCTGGACATGCGTTAGAAGCACGCTAGGTGTGCGCTAGGTGTGCGCTAGGTGTGCGCTAGGTGTTCGCTACACCTCAGCCGACGAACATACAACGAATACCCAGCGTGTGCTCCGCGTGTGTCTGGCGTTGGTCCAGCGCGCTCTGCGTGTGTCTGGCGTTCTTCTGGCGTGTACATTCATGCGTCGAGGTCCGCGCAAATTTTTGTGCATGCACAAAAATCCCGACGCACACAGCGAATGACAACGAATGAATAGCGTTGGTTCAGCGCGCTCGACGAACGAGTAACTAATGCTGACGCACACTCAGCGAAAGACAACGCACTTGGCCAAATTTGCTAATTTTTCAGTGCGCGGGCCGTGCGTCGTGTATGTGTGACTGGCGCATAATGGCCCTGTCACACATTGACGATTTAGCCAGCGTATGGCAGATGTATCAAAAATTTGGTGAATACGCTGGCGTACGTCGAATAAGTTATGGGTAAGCTTTGTATAGCACGTTGGTATACGTCGTAGTACGGCGAGGTCGTCGAAAAATTTTAAGCATGCTCAAAATTTTTCGACGTATGCCAGCGTATGCCCATGTGTCCCGCATACGCGGCCCATAAGTTGTAGGTAAGTTATGCGATCGTTGACACACGTTCACACACGTTACTTGTAAGTTACTCATAAGTCGAAATACGGCGAGATAATGTCTAGCGTACCCAAAACTTATTTCTAACCTATGAGTAATGTGCTTTGAACCTATGTGTAACTTATCTCCAACGCATATTGACGCATGTAGACGTATTTGATGTGTTCCGGACGACCACAGAACTTACTGAACGTGTTTCTAACTTACAGCTACTGTATAATGGCGTATTGGCAGCGTTTAGGGGAATTGGTATATAAAAATGGTATTGGCATGTTGATACTGCGACGGTGATGTTGATACTGCGATGTCTAGTGCGGATATGATCTGAATCGTCGAGCGGCAGCCTTTTTATAGGCTACGACACGTGATCGTCGGCTATACGCTGCCGCGCGCTATGCATAAGTTAGACTATCGTTGGCACTAATTTGTGAACGCTGGCAACACCTAAGCATTCGTTGGTGATAAGTTATCTATAAGTTATCGGAAAGGTTCTATATACGTTTAATAATACGTTAAGTATACGTCCCTGGCGTTTATGATACGCATTGTATAACGCCAAATGAAAAAAACATCGGATGTTCAGGCGTATGCCAGCGTTTTTAGAGAAAATTTTGATGACGTCGGGCATACGCTGGCTAAAATCGTCATGTGTGACACTGGCGCATAACAGAGCGGGTGTACGTACGTTCTCATGATGTAAACATAAATTCAAATACAATCTTTCAAATCAATAAAATATTTAATGTTATATGTAATCACCCAATCAATAAAATTCTAATTTACATGCATGCATAAAATGCTAGTATCATGCACATATCTATAATATGTATATATATATATATATATTATATATATATATATATATATATATATATTATATATAGAAAAAGAGAGATAGAGAGAGAGAGAGAGAGAGAGAGAGAGAGAGAGAGAGAGAGAGAGAGAGAGAAGAGAGAGACAGAGGGGGAAGAGAGCTATAGATAGATAGATTGATTGCATAGATATGTAATAACTAGTGTGGGTGAGCGTGTGTGCGTGTAACATGGCTCGCATCCCATGTGTTGAAGGGGATCCTACGACGACGTGGAGGAGGATGTGGAAGAGCTGGAGAACGTTGCCATGAAGCCGATGGCGGCCATATCTCGCATGACCGAGGTCAAGACGCTGGAGACGCTCGAAGGTGCCAAGAGAACGCTTGAGAGGCAGGCGAGCAGCCTGGCAGAGGACGACGACGATCTCAAGGTCACATAGACTGCAGTGCTCTTGCTTTTACTACTTAATGCAATCTTAAACCAGGGGGCGTGGGTATAGGGTCTGTATGGGGTGCAACTAGGTTTTGTTTCTAGGGTTTGGGAGAAAATATATTACTATGTCATAATTGATTATTATTTGTTTCTAAATATAAAATTGAACGAGGGGACCTGGGTATAGGGTCTGCTGATACATGCTCCTGATGTGTCGGGTGAAATGGCTGGTGCTATCTTTTATTATTTATAGATTTTTTTTAATTGAGTTTGTTACTTAATACAAAATTGAATAGGGGGCCTAGGTAGGTATTGCATGATATAGCTGCATTAGATTGTAATCTTCAAGCTAAAAGAGTTGGTGCATATTTTTTTATTTCATAATCATTAATAACTTGTTACTTAATACAAAATTGAACAGGCGGTTTTGGTATGGGATGTAGTTCCACTGAATTAGTTTCTAGAGCTTGAGTGATAATTATTGATGCCATAGTTTATAATTTGTTAATTATAACACCCTAGGTTGCTTTTATGTGCACTGAGTTTACAGTTGTGATGTGTATCGGTTGTGAATAGCAATTCTTCAAGTCAATTACTGCATCCGATAAAACCTAAATCATGAAGTAAAAAGTATTATCGAACGCACCGTTTCTCTAGCCTCATTTGTGCACATGCATTTTGTTGCATGTAGGTTCACTGTGTCCAGTACGACACGGCCATGCGCGTAGAGTGTCAGATGGCAGAAGAATTGAAGGCGTTTGATAAGTACTACTCCGATCAAGGGAAGAGAGACAGCACGGATGGGATGTGGGAGAATTTCGGCCAAGCTGATTCTGGCGGATTTGGCGAGCAGGTATTGTTCGTTTAGGAATGAGAATGCTTGATATAACTGAATGTGATCGACAAGTAATCACTAGTAAGTTTAGTCTAAGACGTATTTGTCTGTTTTGTTGCCTATGATAAATATGTGTTATCATGTGTATATAGTTATGTCTATTGTTATGTCGTTGATTCTTCGGTAAGTTTATAATTATCTTCTAATAATTTTTCAGTGTCGAGCACGTGAATGTTTACCATAACATAAATTCTAGAATGGGACACGGTTCTACATTTTGGCAAGAAATATGTAGTATAAAACGTATTGCACACTTGTTGCTCGAAAAGACAAAACAAGCTGTTACTTTGCGAGATTATTGTCGCAATTGTAGCACCTGTCGCTGTTCGGCTTTTCTTACCGCCGATCGGTCTATCGTGAGTTTCTTCATGCTTTGTAGGTTCGCCCGATCGCGCTAAAGCCAAGCTTCGTGTCCGTTGACGACGACGATTGCATGAAGTTGCAAATGGATCACGCTCTGCAGCCGGCCGCCAGGGTCACGGCCGTGCATCCGTCCGAGGCCGTGCGCGTGCACGACCACTATGGCGCAGCCGGCGCCGCTCCCCCCGCGGCTACGGACGATGAGAGCAACTTCACGGCGATGCTGCACAAGGCGATGGACCTGAACGGCGTCGACCGCGAGACCGTCCACTTCATGGTCACGCTACTCATGAGAGTAAGCCAAGGCGCGAGAAGGGGGGAGTGGGGTGCCTTGTGTTTTATTTTTCATTATTATTATTATTTATATTTTGGATTCTAATATTTATCGGTACTTTTATTTAATTATGCCGTGCTTCTTATTAGAGTAAGCAGGGGGTTGATTTTTTATATATTAATTATAATTTTAATTATAATCATGGTTGTGTGGGTGTAATTGTGCTTAAGCCAGTGTGGGGTCGAGTTTAAGTTATTACTATTTTAATGTTCTTAATCATGTTCATGCTGTTGATGAGGGTAAAAACAGGGGGTGAAATTTTCTATTTTAATTTTTAAATTCGTCCCTATACGACCTGTGGTGATGTGTTCTTGCATGAAAATGAAATACTATAACACCTGTTTCTATTCAATATATTTTAGTTCATGGCAGAGCAGAATTATGTCTTAGGTGCAGATGTGAAAAAGACTGGAAAACTGCAGGTTAGTGTGTCCTTTCGTTTATAATTTGTATTTGCATCGTTTTCTACCAGCATTTGAATAATACATATGGTATTGTAGTAATTATGATATGTATATGTGTGTTCATGTGTGTGTATTATATACTATAGTATAGAGTTTATTATTTTGGTGTGAATATAATGGTCATGGTTGCAATATTTCTGTGATTGTGGCAGACATATATATACCAGCTGTGTGAACGACATTGTATTTGCAGAATTTGGTACTTCGTCATCTTAACGTCTTGCTTGGTTACAACCAAAATGAGAAGATGTTTGCTATTCCTCCCTACAAGCTCCGATGTTCAACTGTTTTCAATGCATTCATCTCTGGTCTTCCAACAGTATGTACATTAATTAATTATTATTTTACGTGTGTGTGACTTGCTGACATTTAGCTACTGTGATCGTATGGAAGGTATATGGGAGTATACTAATTATTTAATTATAATAAATTCATAATAAATTGAAAAAAAATATTGCAAAATATATCTGTATAATATATAATATTATATATTATA